TAATAATAAAAAAATGATCCTTCAGTTTCCCTGAATTTAATAACTAAAAGCTCATCTGTCAGCAGAATCAAGATCAGGAGTGAAAAAATACATATTTCAATCTGTTTAGCAATCGCAGCTCAACCTCATTAGGTATTACCCACAGATGCAAACACTACAGACACTATGTTGGATTTACCATCTGGCATTATCCAACTGAAACACTAAATGCTTGTCTTGTTTCCATGAAAGCTTCATCATCCCTGACTAGTAGTAGACTTATGCCTAAAATTCCTTTTGTTCCTTATACACGTAAACAAACTCCTCCCTGCTGTGACTGAATTTAATGAAATATTTATGACATTTTCTTTCCTTGTCTTGTCTGCACTTAGTTTCAAAAGTTACTGAAATTGCTATGTAGAAATTACTACTGTCTATGCATCCTCCAATGTTGCTAAACTGGCTTATTTTAAGCCACAATAAGACAACTTAATTTTGTGTAAAAAAGGGAATTTAAGAATACAAAAAATTTCTTTTTTTCAACCTTGGTTGCATATACTTTAGTAAAATGATAAACTACAATTAGCATAAAGCAAGCATACCTAAGCAGACCTTGATAAGCTATGCAAATCATCAGTTACTATCTTTCAGTTCAAGCACCCATCCTAATTATTTCTCTCTGACAAGGATTTTCTTTTTCTTCATGGAATATGAATATTCTGTTTAGAAATCATTCTTACTGTGACACTTCTAAGCATCTTCTTGATGGTATACATAAAAGTGTAGGCATCTCAAAGGATGCAAAAATAATCTATAAGATTAAAGACATTCAAGAACTGGACCATTTTTTAAATCTAATGGTTTATAGAAGAATCTCCGAAAGAACTCCTATACCAGAGACTAGTCACAACATTGTGATTGAAGCATTCAAAGTGTTTAGAATAAACTACAAAACAGCCCACTAAGGACCAAAACCTTGCAGAATAGATAAGCAAGGAAATACACAGCTCAAGCATTTTTGTAACCAAACTGAAGTTTGCTCATAGCTTGCTAGCAAGACGCACGAGTTCAATCACAACCTTGAATTTCCCGGATGTGCTTACTGGCTAGTCCTTTGGGCACGGAATGTTTAAAACCTTTCCAATCATCTTTAAGTAGAACAGCTGGTGTAACAGGAGGTAAGAAAAAGCAGAGAAAAAAGATCTTAGAAATTTTAAGCAAAACAAAGGAGCACTGTACAAGCCCCTTGAGGATAAGCAGTTATCAGTGTTTCCAGATGCAAATGACAAAGCCAGTGTAAGGAGAGAAAGAAACACCCAAATAATTGCATCCATTCTCATCCATAAACGTCTCCAAGTATCAACATTGTGTGACCCCATATAAGCAAAATGCTTTACTTGGAGCAGCAACTCCTTAAACAAAACAAATACTCAAGTTTAATATAAAATCCTATTACAATTATTTTCTCCAAGCTTCTGCACAGCTGTAACTACTTTGTCTTTATTACAGAATCACATTCCAAAAAGTTCCAGCTGCTCTTAAAGCCCACCCACTTGAAAAAGATACATTGAACAGCTTCACTCACATAATCCTTTCAGCAAAATGTTCATTGTGACAATTTGTGAATGTTCAACATGCTGAACATCCATTAAGACTATCAATACTTTAGTTTTACTGTACAATGTTCAAGTACATATTGAAAGAGAGTTAAAGCTACAGTTAACAGGTAATGAATTCCACTTCATGCTTTAAAAAGACAAATTAGTTGGTGTACCAATATTTACAGTAGAAAGATCTGATGCATCTTGGGGGGGAAAAATAAAGGTCTACCTATCTTCTTAAAATTAGTAACAGTACTTGGGTATCCTTCAAAACGAGAGGTTTGCCACTACTGACATCAGTGATAGTTCTGGCACCAACATATCTGAGCTGGCACACACTATGAGAGCTCAAGTATTATTTAAGTAAGTTTCAAACACAAAAAGATTCCTTGCCACAATTCGAAAGGATACATCTTGTGTTTTTTCATATTTTCACTCACAATATTACAGAAGAGGCACTTACACTCCAATAAAACCAGAACCATTGAGGACAAAAGAGAAACGATTCTCAAAAGCTTAAGGAGGGAAAAAAAGCCAACCAAGAAAAGCAAAACAACCCACACCCCAACACCCAAAACCAAACCAAAAAACAAACTACCCCTCACATTCTGGGGAAAAAAAAGCACCACAATGATCTCCAATCACTTCTGTTCAAACACGTTCTTGCCTAGTCTACCATCATGTTTAAATTGTTGATGACTATGCCTCAGAGCTCAACAGCAAGAGCTAAAGACTAAATTTAGTAAAGCATACACCAGTTTCAGCAAGGCGTTCAGCATCTCAGCCAGTCAAACCAAACAGCACATCTAAAGCAGTAACCAGTCTTTAAATCGTACAAAATGCCAGCAATAAATGAATTTGACAGAGGTATGATTTCTATAACTAGTTGGCTGCATTCTGCTACAGCCTCTAATACTAATTCATGGGAGAAGCATTCATATTCTTATCTTAAGGGAGTTTCAACAAGTTACCTGTTCTAGCAAGCTTCAGGAAACGCAAAAGTATAAAAACATACTCTTAATAATATTAAAGCACAGCCAACTTTACGGCTTTCCTGTGACTTCCTGAAGAGAGAGAGGACAAAATACTTAAGATCAGTCAAGTGTTTTCAGTCATTAATAGAATAGTTCAGTTGGAAGGGACCTAAAAGAATCATCTAGGCCAAATGCCTGACCACTACAGGGCTGATCAAAAGTTAAACCATATTATTAAAGGCATTGTCCAAACGGCTCTTAAAACACTGACAGGCTTGGGGCATCGACCACCTTCCTAGGAAGCCTGTTCCAGTGTTAGACCACTCTCTCTGTAAAGAAATGTTTCTTAATGTCAATGAAGCATGGTGCAATTAAATAACACTTAGACCATCACATAATCACCCTGGCAACATCACTGAGTTGGTAAACAACTTCTAAGCCACTTTTCTGAATGCAGAAATGCAAAAACGTACCGAAGGAAACAAGCTACATGGACTCTATAAGTGTGGTAGTTTCACTATCAAGTCCATGCAAGCATCAAGGATGTTTTCATACAGACTGAAACACATACTAATCTCAGTTTTCTCCTCAGAACTTTGTAAGTATCTTTATACAATACCCAAGTCTTTTTCACTTTCAGCACATTGCATGAAATAAACCTTGCTACGGTCACTTAAATTACATTTATGTTGTAAACAGTCAAGTACCTTTGAGACAGACTTCTACATATTTATACAGCTAATACGTACACTGGTCACTTTTTAAGTGATGGACCATACGCTTTAGGGTAGACCATGAAGTCTGGCAACTTAATGATCTATTTTACATTTGAAGAAATTTTACATATTCCCCCTGCTTTCCCCCGTCTCGACCTATTATCCCATCTTTTGCAGAATAGTAAGGAGTAAGATTAAGACACACAAACATAGAATGCTTTCCTCTACAATGCCTGTAATATAGTTTATTTTAAAGTATTTCTTTATCAGTTTGCACATACAAAGTAACAGATTAGTCTGTATATACTAACCTCTGTTCCAATACCAGGCTGAACACCAGAATATACAGTATCTGGAGGAGGGCCTCCATATTTCCTCTGTCCTGTAGTTACATCCAAAGTGTACCCAGTCCTCTCTAGCAAAGCCTGAAAAAAATTTGTCACATTAGTTATGTGAGGGAGGATGGTGGGTTAAAACATGAAGAATAAAAAGGTGTCCCAAGATAAGTATTTCCTTATCTGCTCCTGCCACATTTGATAACAAGGTATATATGGACAGACAGAACCTACAAAAAACCCCTGTTATTTTCAGGTTTTAAAAAACCACCACCACAAACAGCAACATTTGTTTTACACTACAAGGTCACTGGAAATAACTCATTTTTCTTTCACTTATTTTCCATTTTATATGGAATATATTTCCCCAAGAACTCCAGAACACCAAGCAATTCTTTTCACCCACTCTGTACTTAGGTTTTTGCACAACAGAAGAGTTTCTTAATATACTAATACCTTGCTGAAATGTTCAATCAGTCTCAAAGTAGTTTTATGAGTGCATAAAAGCTTTAATATAAAAGGACAACTAAGACACTTCTTAAATAGATATCAGGGTTTTCATAGACTTTACATAACATCAAGTTCATGCATTTTGGCAATTGTGTAATCAGGAAGATCTGCACTTCAAACACGCAGTCTCTCTTTTGAATATCATTCATACATTTCTTTAAAGCCAAGTGTGAATATACTTAGCCAGGTTGTATTGAAGTTTTTTAAGTACATCCAAAATTACTTCAGTCTCCATACAGGTAATATATCAAGTAGTATAGCATAATTGGTATTTTCTAAATGTTACCTTAATCTTTGCTTCATCTGGTCCTTTCGTTGATTCCTGTACTTTGCTGCCTTGTTTCTCTCTTTGCCTGTAGGTCTTCATAACTCCACATAAAAATGCACTTTTGTTCTGTAGATACAATTTACAAAATAATTCAATTGTGCGTATGAAAAGCCCTGGGAATCCACCGAATCTTACGCTCCATACTGTGGGGTCACTATATCAAGCCAATGCAATAAACAAAATGTCAAAAGAATCCTATAGAAAAATATAACAATTAATTGAGCAAACTCAACAGACTGAAAAAATCATCACATTCCAGCCAGTATTTTTACCTTATTTTCTCAACATCACGCTCATTTTTATTAGCTGGGACCTTTTGCTTTGCACTCAAATACCTACACGTTTAAGCCAATTTTTAACAGCCTTGTGATTTGGGTTTGAAATGTTAGAATATAGCAACATCAATGAATTTCTAAGTTACAACACTCCTGCCAACAGTGCCAGAACACTATTTATACTTATGTGCTCACACTCCTGGAGCTCTCACCTTACCTGTACATGCGACAGGTCACTTTCTTTAAACTGCTGTAATACAGAGAGGGCTCCTTCTTCATTAAATTCCCTAAGAGCATCAATTGCTCTTTCATCAAGATCGACATAAGCTACCAACCCTAAAAGTTAAAGATAAAAAAGTTACAGATTTCTACTGAATTTCATACAAACTAAGAACTATGCAGTTTGCTTTTAAAGTAAAAAAGTTACATTCCATAGCAACAGAATTATACATTTAATATAATTACATAGTCCTACACAAGTATATGAAAGAACATGAGTACAACAATGAAAAAAGTTAAATTAAAATGTATATACCTAAGCACTAACTGACGTGCAAGATTATACCCCATGTGTAACAGTTTTCTAACATTTAGGAATCCAATCTGCTGCATAAAAGCAGTATTACACACCAGGCTTTGAAACAGTGAACTCTGGCTCACTTCTAATAATTTGGATTTTGTTTGTCTTTCATTTTAGGTTTCACACTTCCTTCTCTTGAGTGGAGCTTTCTAGAGTAAGCTGACATGTGAACATTACAGGTATCCTATTGTACGTGAAAAAGGAGCTACCTAACTGACGATCAAATACTTCTGAAGCTCTACCCACATAGTATTAGGAAGTAGAATGGTTTGTTCACTCTTTTCTCCAACTTCAAAAAGCAAAAATCAGTGGACTTCCTAGAAGTCCAAAACATTTTTTTTTCTTTTTTTACTTATTTTGTTGCTCTATCCAGTTCAAGAGCCAGAATTCAAAAAGGTATTATTTCAAGCCCTGCTATGTACCCGAAAAGGCTAATGTTAATTTTACAGGTACAGACTCCCCCAAGAAACATTGGACCAGTTCTGAAGCACTTTTTCTGTTTAAGGATCTTTAGAAGTTCTTTCTTTCCTTTTGTAATGCACTTGCATAAGCTATGGAGCGTGAGGAGTGCAGACTAAGATTTTTCAGTTTTTAAACTACACAGTGAAACTTAGGTCATATACCAAGAACTCCACACACTTTGCAGCAGCGTGATCTCCAAAATACACAGATTATTTAACTGCTATGTGATTTAAAAAATGCACAGTAGTGCCAAGCCCAAGGACTACATTTCAGAAGTGATCCTGCATATTGGAAGGCACCTGTATCTTTCATATAAGACCTCAGCAGATTAAAAATCCCAAAGTTCAACCCCAAATTTAGCTCGGGTGTCAAAAGTAGTTTGCTTCACTGACAAACGCCTGCACAATGCGAACATCTTCAGTGGCATTAAGGAAGTTGTGAATAAATGTTTTCAGGTTACTCTTGCCGTGGAATTATACTAGGTAGTCAGGTTCTGGGCTGAAAAGCTTTTAAATCCCTTGAGAACTCACAACACAACCTAACTGCAACAAGTGTTAGAGCCCCACAAGTTCCTCTGCCCAGGCACTTACACCTTATCTCAAACCATCAAGTGCACATCATCGTGAATCGTGACCCAGAGTTAGAAAGTGCATGTCTAAAGCCAATAAAAGCTGGTAAAGGCTTGATGAAACCTCACTGTGAATGACTTCCAAATGACATCATCCACGTGAGCCAGAGTATCATACTGAAGATTGGGAAGGTATTGTTTTTGAACTGCCTTCACCTGATCAGTGGAATTTTGACTCTTTTCAACAAAAACTGTCATCTTGCCACCAAGGCTTTCAAGATCAGCGCATAGAGCATTTCTACCGCTTCTTGTAAATCTGTTCACAGAACACACTCTAAAGAGGAAAAGGAAGTCTCTGTTGATAGGACAAAATAATAAGGGGGTTACAAAAACAAAATAGAAAAACCTTTGCATATAAAGAAACCTCTCTAGAAGTTGCAGAGACCACTTGCTACCAGCAAGGTATTACTCGATTTGCTAGATAGCTTAGTCCTCAACTTTGTTGAAAAAGCAGTTAGTGTCAAACTGAACATTTCAGTGTAATAACCAACATGGATTAAACTGTCCACTCAGAACTAGAGAGAACAAAAAATCCACAGGCAGACTCAATTCAAATGTAGTCCCAGGCAAGACAAGTTAGTTGCTTCCCTAAGTCACCTATCCAGCCTTTGAGTGTTTAAGAACCACTGTGAGGAGTTGACAGTAGAAAAGTAAAAGCAAAATGATGATTCGGATTGAAGAAAAAAAATAATGTACAGTTTAGTATGCTCAAACACACATCTTTATTTGACAACATCTAAGAAACTAGTGCTCTGTGCCCTAAAGCAACTAAGATATCACATACAACACTAAGGATGTGTCAAGTAATTAGTCAATGTCAAACCCAATTTGCCTTTAGGGAAGTCAAAGTAGCAAAACATTCAGAGCTACACAGATCAAAAACAATGAATTTTTAAACCTTAATCTATAAAAATTTGAAAATGGTATGCCCTCACTTTCATAACCAGTCAGAAACAAGAAATGCATATTATACCTGTCTGAAATATTTCATCAAGTCTCTCTGCCACCTTCTGTGGGAGGCCTGCCTCTATCAGTGTCTTGTAGTGTTCTGTGTGAGTTACACTGGAAGTATCCATTGGTTCTTCCTCTTCTTTTAACTGTACCGCATTACCATTCACCTGATTAGCCATTTTATTATGCTGCTGGAAAAAATTCAGGAGCTATATTACAATAAGCCAGAAATAACTAGTTTGTAGGACAATGCATGATTTATCTAAACTAATTTGTATACATGCTGCAAATGACCTGTATCAAAAGTTTTATTTAATACTTTTTGGATGCAGCTGATCTAAGTTTCAAAAGAACGTACAACCCTTAATGCTGTGGAAAATGTACATGGAAGACTTTACATAGTTCTTTTTAAAATGTACTTCATGTACATAACGATGTCTAAACTTTATCTGCTGATTGTCAGTAAGTTAACTGGTTACCATAGCAGCTAGAATGTACGGGGATACGATAATAACATCCTTCAATGAAGAATCAGAAGAGCTAATGCTATTTTCATTTTCCATTCCTCTACTTTTAAAACAATGGTTTAAAATTTAGTGAACACATAACCCTGCAGGGTAGCTTAATGTATAAAAATGTCAATACTTGTTTACTAATTTTCACTTTCTTGGCTTGTTGCCATGTCTTCCTTCAAACCCAACATGCTGCGTAAGACTAGCCAAACACTTTCTTATGACACTGGCAGAACTCAGTAAGGACAGAAAGAGAAAAAATTACACTCTAATGCACATTATGTTTTGAAGCTGCAACTGAACTGTCTCCATGCTTTCAGTTTTACTCAAATAGGAGCTCTACAAATCACAGCTACTTTTTTTATATATATAACTTATTGGTTTAAAAGGAAGCCATGACTGCAGCGTCTTCAGTTCTTATATTAATAAAAAGACTTGCTTTCAGAATTAACAAACTGATTCCAAATACGTGCACTGAAAAATGCACAACTATCTTGTCAGGCAATTCCAGTGGGCTTTGCCCAATTCATTAAAAACAGTTTCAATTTCTCAATTAGCCAGCCAGCTGACATTTAATACTCTCAAATAAAAAGGCTGACAAGAGACAATTCAACTACCCAGCAGAGAACGTTAGGATGATCAGCTGTTAAGTTCAGAAACGAAAAGAGCCTCAGGCTTTAAAAGACAGGGAAGAAGTCGATGATCAGCAGTGAAATGATAACCAGATAGACATATGCAGCATGGCTGGACCAATGCAATTAAGTACTGGAATACAGGTATGAAGGTGATTCAAGAACAGAGTTTTTTTGAAAACGCTGAAGCCTCAAGCTATTTACTATGCTGCAAAACGAGTCTCCAAACATAACCACACCTCTAACATTCACTTGTATACCCATCCCTTCTAGACTGCAGCTCATGAACTTTTTGGAAGATATCCTATGAAGATTTGCAAGCTTGAGCAAGATTTTAAAAAAATCATTCTTCTTCAGACAGAACAGTAATGATTTTACTAAAGCTGTCTTGACTTGAAGGGCAATTTTAGAGAGATGTAATATAGCCTCATATTGTTTCTCTGTCAGATGCCACTTCTGTATGCCATTAGGGAGGGAAAGAAAGGAAGTTTTTTCATAGCTACATAGCACATATATGTACACACACACACACATTCTGCTACTTGACAATTTGCTTTCTAACCAATTCAGTTTACTTAAAAGCAACTATGACTATAGCCTAATTACAGAAGAAAAAAAAATACTACCCAAAGACTACCATAATGCTTACCTATCATTACAAGTATTAACTGAATTCTCAAAACACTCAAAAACTGCATTCTCAGAACATGAAGTTTCTACAGGTTACAAAAATCATGGAAAACAAAAATCAGGTAGATGTCTGCTTGCCTCTGTGAGATATCAAATTTGAAACACTGCAGCAGAGGGAGTTTAGTTAAACTGAAAATGCTTCGGGTACAATATCATTCTAAATCCCTCCTGTCAAATCCATAGGATGATATACACAAAAAAGACATACAGAGGGGTTTTTTTGTTGTTTTCACCTTTTTACTATCTTATAAAATCAGTTACTTACACATATATTGTCTTCTCTGTATGCAAAAAAAAAAAAACCCCACACAAAGAACTGTGAGGCTAAGCCGACACATAAATACAGAAAAGTTAGCTGAAACTACAAGTACCTTCTAAACTTCAATGGCTTATGGTGATGCTCCCAGACAATATTTTTTGTGAACCCTGATTAGCTTTCAAGAGTCAGATACCCAAGAGTTTTAGCACTGTTCTCAGTGTTGCCTACAGCTGCACAGAAGGTTGACAGCTATACTGCATCCATGTAGTAACATCTCATCTGCAGTTCAGTAACTCAAACTTCTGACAGGCAAGATTTGCAGCCAAACAGCATGAAAAGACATCTACCTCAATCACAAACATACACCAGTGTGTGGAGTAATATCTAAACCCTAAGTATCAGATTACTACATAGCACCACAGCTGATCAAATCCTTTTTTTAAGTAGGCTTTTAGACAATGTGAATTAAGTCTCATCATTTTAATTCACTAGCTGCATGGTTTATTTTTGCTTAAGAATTAGTATCCTCATAAAGAACAAGTCAAATGCAGTGCATGTTCACCAGAGAGAAAAGTTCAGTTCGGGTGTTCAAATTTTAACCATTTCCTGTCACATAAACTTAATTTAAAAGACTTTCTTAAAAGAAATTTCTCTTGAAAATTTTGAAGTGACATAGCTGTCAAAATATTCAGGTCCCAACAGCATGCAAAAGAATAGTTTGGGTTTGGGGTTTGTGTTTTTTTTTCAGTTATAGTAATAGATTCCCTGCTGGCTTTGCAAGCTTGACCTGAAATCTGAGCTTAGACTTCCTGAATGATCGCCAACAAGCAAAATTGCATCCCTTACCACACTGAATCTGCTCTCTGAGTTCAGCAGAGATGTGTGGGTGAAAGTCATAGCTGAGATCTTTTAGCTCTCACTCTAGATAACATCAGCTAGATGTAGCTATCAAGAAATACATTAACTTGATTTTATCAATAAGGAGAACACACTACGATTTTAAAACTTTTGTTCTCCTCTAAAAAAAAATTTAAAAGCATATTAAAGAAAAAGAGGAGCGATATATATGTTTGCATGCGCAGCATGTCCATGTCACACAGTCTGTGACAGGCCAGACCACACAGATGAGCACCCACATGCATTCAAGAGTTTTTCGTCTGTATTAAGTAACTCAAATATCTAGAAAAGAGGGAGACTGGTTGAAAAGATTTTAAGTGTGGATCATAAGTAAAGGATTATGTATATTAGTATGTGTGGGATATGTATTTGTTTTAAAAACATGCAGAAATGGATGAATTTAAAAGAGTGTACACAAAAACGTGCTTACCAAATGAGCAGCAGTAATAAACACACATTGGGGGCAACTTTAAACGGGCAAGGAGAATTTCCACTGGTGGCTGAGAGGTTACCTAGCTTTACCACCTCAGAACTGTGTGTATGGGGAAGGGAAGCATTGCCTTGTTTCAAACTTCACACTGTTGTTGCCAACAATGTTTTTCTGAAGACCATGAGTACTTCACGAAATAAAACATGTTTTTAGCTATCCACTATCTTTCACCTAGAATTCCTGCATCTCAAAAGAGTAATTTGCGAAGTGACTAGTCCCTTTTTTAAGCTCTAACAATATAACAAGCAGGTACTTCTAAGTTACCCGGAAACAATCTTCTTTTTCATGTTTAGTAACTCAAATGGTTCAAATAGTAATCTTCCTAGGAAAAAATAACTGACACACACCTGAGCCTGATAGTGGATGGCATCTTGAAAACAGAAACTTGATCTCAGCCTCAATCTGACAATCACTAATTAAACACCCATGATGTTACTATTCCCTGTATTTTATACTATGCCTTTAACAGAGGTTGCCACCCACAGACTATCTAAGTATAATTCCGTCCAATTAATTATAAATTCACAGCCTAGTTAACCCAAAACATGCTTAGTAACAGCTTAAATGAGCAGCAATGGCAATTTCTGGCAAAGGGACAATATCTCAGACTACCATAACCAACTTCACAGGGATTATATATCAGTACTGTTTTCAGCCTTCTGCTATGAAACTTTTGATTTCATGGAGGAACTAAACTTGTTTAGATCAGGTGCACAGGAAGCATTAACTAATTCCTACATAAAAACTCTGCACCAAACTCATTCAACTTCCTTATGTTACTATTCCTTCTATCCAACATATTAGCTGTGTCAAGCATTTAAGTTATACCACATTAAAAATAGCATTGAGGGGACGTTTTCTGAGGTTTTTGGGGTTTTTTTGGTTGGGTTTTTTGTTTGTTTGTTTTTTAATGAACCACGAGGAAAAAAGTGTAGTCCCTATAGTTATGCCTTACACTTCAAGAAGGTTCTTGTCAAAACAGGAAGGCAAGAAACACATGAGTGAGGGGAAGATAAGAACTCACATTAAAAGACTGAACTGAGGATTTATTAAAATCTCACTTGTTCTCAAACTTTACTGGCACATCCCTTTATTTTTTACATGAAGGTATTATAGCCATTTCTTTTGTACCATCACTTATCCAATCACAGAAACTACATTTTCATAGCTTAGTTATTATATACAAAGTGTTTATTAGCATGAATTACAAGAAGACTTGTTTCAAAGTTATCACACCCTGAAGACCTTTACACATTAGCCAGGTTTCCACAACAGCTTTTCAGTGGCAGACTATCTTTATGACAAAGTATAGTTAGCACTATAAGTTACCCCTTCAAGCACAGAAGTCTCAGCCTTTCCCACTCCATAACCCCATGGAATGAAAAAATCTGAGAACCTCCATGATGATGCTAAGCAAGAGACTAGCACAGCCCATACTGAAACTATGCCTCACACAAGCATCACTGGGAGATGACTTTACCAGAACAGGTTAGCAAGGTGCACATCAGTGCCATTAAAATACAACACTGACTGCATCAGCAGCTACTACATTTTGCTAACCTGAACTATAAAGTCTGTACATGCTCATTTCTAACTGGAGTTGGCCACTCATGGCTCATCTGGTTGTTTGGGTTGTACAGAACAACATTCGTGGCACTCCAGTTCAAAGCAACACTTGAACAAAAATGAGATTTGTTCTGATGAA